AATCCCAGGACTCTGAGAGGCTGAAGCAGGGGGATCAAACTTTCAGGCAATTTAGGGACTCAGTGAATCTGTCTCAAAAAAAAAAAAAAAAAAAAAAAAAAAAAAAGTAAACAAGGCTGGAAATGTAGCTTAGTGCCCAGGCCTTGGATTTAATCCCTAGTCACACATACATGGCTAATAAAGTCACTGCTGCTGCTGTCCATGGATGTATTATACTCCTTGATGTAAGTCCTTCCTGAGTCCTGTTACTGTGGTGTCCGGACAGCAAAGCAGGTGTCACCCCTGCAGGAAGCCTCCCACCGCAAGGGTCCTGCAGGCTTTCCTGTGTGTTCTTAAGTGGGAGAAGGACAACCAGCATTCCTGGGGGCTTCCTGCAGGGGCAGCCTCTTCCTCGCTCCGTCCCTCCTTCCTCTCCTTGTTTCTTTGTTTCTTTTTACTTTCTGTCTTTGTACTGGGAATCGAACTCAGGATCTTGCACTTGCCAGGCAACTGCTGTGCCGCTGAACTGATCCCAACCCCAGAGGAGGAGGGTTTCTTAACTTGTGGTCATAGCTCCCGAGCCCTTCAGAAAGATGAACTCCATGCACCTGTCCCAGAGCGGGCATTGTCCTTGTTTGTGCTCAGCAGTGTCTGCCACCTAACAAAGAGGCAGAGTGCCCTGAAGCACAGATGTGCCTCTGCTCTCAGCTGTGCGCTCTGCCCCTCCCTCAGGTCACTGCCGGTACTCACAGTGACAACTGCCACCTCCGTTCAGTTTGGAGAAGGTCTTGAACTTTGATGTTGCCTCGTAACCATGGAAACCAACACAGTTCCTTTGGACTCAGAGAATTTCTGTCTGAGGGAGAAGTGTGAGAGAGTACGGTATGCACACCTGTGTTAAAACGGTCACCAAAGTGTCCTGTAAAATAAGAATATCCCACAGCTTGTAGAAAATTGAATTTCCTCTGTTACAAAGCATTTCTGGAGTTTTCTTTTGGTGCTGGAGAATATTACATCATAGAGCCACACAGCGGGGCACGTTCCTTGCATAGCTTGAGGTATCAGTAATGATGCTGGTTCAAGGTTAGGCAAGTGAACAAAGGGACAAGGGTTGTCCAAGGGCTGTCGCTATGAAGCGTTTTCTCTAGTCATTTGATCACTCTGCCTGAGGGCAATAAGTTATTTTCTTAAATTAATATCACATTTCCAAGAAATAAATCCTACTTTGTAATATACTGGGATTGTTGATAGAGTTCTGGAAATAAAACAGTAGAGTCAGATGGATAACACATAAACTGAGAATCTGGCACAAGCATGTTAATAATGAAGCGTGTGACCTCATTAAAGCCATTTAACCTCTTTCGTGCTTAATAATACTTTACATCAATAATACTTTTCAAGTGACAGAGTTTTACAGATTTATATATATATACCACATAAGAGTTATTCTAGATCTTTGGGAGAAAGTTGAAATCTTCACCTAATTTCTGACATTTTCATCAGGAGAGATCATCTTGGTGTATCTTTGTTTTGGTAATCTGGAAAGAACCCTAAATTCATGCATGTGGATACAAACTGGAATTTAGTTTAAAATTTAAAATGTCTCTGAATTTCTAACGTAAACAGGTAAACCATTGATAGAACATTCATGTCAGGTTACTTATTGAGGAGTCATGAAGACGTACCTTAATGGCACTAACAGGATATAATAACTGTACAATATTTAGTATATTCCTCGTTTGATTTTGAATGAATTTTGTCAATTGACATTGAGTTTTTAGTGTTCACAAGAATTTGTTTTGAATTTTGGGAAGAAATGTAAACATTTAGAGATAGCTAGCTACACCCCTGATAAATGGTAGGCAATTAATGTTCTCTGTACTAATGATTTTTAAAAATGACTTGAAAAACTCATAGAACCCAAGGTAACATACATCTCCCCTAAAACAATATATGTATGTGTTTGTATTAAATAAATATGACAAAAAGCTATTAGTTAGGTCCAGACTCCTTCACTTGACCCCCCAGTCAAGGGTGAAAATAAAAGTGTAAGGTCATTTATGCTGAAGTTCTATATTACTGGATCAGAGCTAAAATGTTTACCCTCCAAGACATTGGGCTTGGAGTAATAACTGCCAATTTCCTTAATAGATTAGCTTTACTTGACATAACAAAAGCCTTAATCTACACACACACACACACAAAAAAAAAAAAAAAAAAAAAAAAAAAAAAAACTGGCCTTAAGTCATTTATTTTTGTATTGCTCTGTCTCCTTGTCACTGGTTTTTAAGGATAATAACTTTGAAGTGAGCAATTCGCTTTTGTATCTTTTGATTCCCCTTTCTTCAGCCCTTTCCTGACTCTGAAACTAAATCTCCCTGCGGGATTCCCAGGAACATTTATTGCATTTCATTGAATTGCAAATAAAACCAGCTAAGACTCAACTGCTGCGAATTTATCCTTCAACCATAGTTAACAAATGATATGTTGAATTTCGTTTCCATGTTGGCTGGCTTATCTCAGTGTGACAATGTAACCAGAAATTGGGGTACCAGGTTCCATTGCATGTTCATGGTGTTGGGCACCCCAGGCCCCACCTGTGGGAGACAAGACTTAGGCCACTCTCTCCACCCCAGTCCACGTTTCATTCTTTCTGGATTTTCCCTCGTATTCCGTCTATTCTGTGGCTTTATACACCTACCACCTGCTCCACTATAATCTGGCTTTTCTCTTCCTCCCCATGGAAAGCTGCTTGCTATGTGCTTAATCTCCAGTCTGTTAACCAAGCGAAAGAGTTCACCAAATAAAAGAATATAATGCATGTGATAGTTGATCCTCTGGTATCTACTCCACACTAGAATATTGATTGGAGCTGATTTTGGTTTTCTTTTTTCCATGTCAGCACTTGATTTGCCAATGTCCATTGCTTGGAATATTAGGGGGACACATACCATTCATGAAAGAGCTTCATGAGAATAGTCACCTCTTCCTCCAGGAAGTGATGACCTGGACCCCTTATCACAGAAGCAGTAGGGCACTGAAACGCACTTCCAAAAGTGGATGGGTGGGAACTGCTTAAATAGATGTGTGCTGAGTACTGATCATGTAATTAGGGCACTACTGACACAGAGAAGCCACAAGTCTCTCAGTGACCACACTACCTGCCTTCAGTCTAGGTGGTGCTCTATGATGAAAAAAGCTTTGAAACTTTCACTAAATGGTGTATTTAACAGTCTGTGTTCATTGGAGTAAGGCTTATTGCTGTAAGGAGATGTGGTTGAAGTAAAATTTTAGAAAAGATGAGTGTTAAGGCAGTCTTGGAGAACAGATTGACATTAGCTAAGTGACAAGGCAGAAGTACAACGCAATACTCAAGAGGAGACTGAGCTTGCAGTAAACACAGAGAGGACACTGCTACTGAGTGAAAGGGCTGGAAATCGGTTTTGATACAGTTTACAGGTAGAAGAAAACAGGCTATAAAGTTTTAAGATATGAAAATTAGTGTTAATTTCTTTATGACATCTTCTCATTGCCTAGAAGAAATGCACTCGAGGGGTTTTATATCAAGAGATGCAATAATTGTAATCCTTAATTGTCTAATGCATGTTTATTTCATAATCAATTCTACTTGTATATAGGTTTGAACACTAATTTGCATTCTAATACCAAATTTTCTCACATTCCCTCATTCTCTTAAAAGTTTCCATCTGTTGATGAGGGATGGCAATTGGCTCTAAGGAGGTTACAGTTTCACTTGCAGTGACACAGAAGATCTTATCACCAGCACTCCAGTCCCCAAAGCTGTGATACTGGAGCAGATACACTGAGAAGCAATTTTAGAAGTCCACATAATCCCCTCTACCTTTGGGGATTTTAGTTAATTGTTTTCTATTTCTTTTATGTTTCACACTCTGAATGATTTGTGGTTGAGAAAGCTGTCTTCATCCAAGAATGGTCTTTTTAGATTTTTCCTGAAGTTCATACTCTCTGTCACATTTCACCGTGGTGATCATCTCCTGTCAGGACTGATCTGCCTGTTAGGAAAGCATCTCTATCTCATTACAAAAACAGGCCTATTGCATATAAGTTTTCTGTACATACATTAATTTATTACAAAATATTTTACCATAGCAGAATATAGTATCGCTAAGATACTCCAGCTACCGTTCTCATCTCTCCTGTGTTCAGCATGGACTTGGTTGTGTTACAGGAAAAGCCAACCAAAGCAACAAAACATTTTCCCTGGACTTCAAGGAATTAATTATCTTTTTTATAAAAGTGTTTTTAATGGCGAGTGTAGTACGACTTATTTTTCCAAGTTTATTAAAATAGCAATGTCCGGCAGGTTTTATTCTTCTAAATAAAGAGCGGGTGGCAGACACTCACCTGGTATTTGTAGAGGAAATGGGTTGCTGTCCTGTAGCATCGTAGAGTGTGTTACCTGTTTCACGGATCTAATGACAGAGAAGTGTGTTTTATCAATTTTCCCCTGCACTCCATATGTAATTCAGTAAACAAAAGATCTCTGTTTCTTAGGAGTACCATTTTATAAACATCAGTATGACTGCTGTATGCTGTCTTAGACATCCTGCTGACTCTATGATTTCACAGGAGCCAGGGTGACAGGCACTGTCCAAGGTGTTCTCTGTCTGTGGGTATCCACCCCTCTTGTGCTCATCTGGATTTTACTTGTAGGCTGCTTCAGGGCAGATAAACTCTCTGCCCCACACTGTGTAACACAAGAGAACCTAGAATGTTCGGGGCAGTGTTTTATGCATTTAGTAAAAGTGAGTGCTGAAGTACCTTTCTCGGTGTTTATTTTTTGTATGAATACATTTTCAGCTTGGAAGATAGTTGCTATTCTTCAGTTACATTTGGAAAAGCCATGTCATAAATGTGAATTTGTCTTCACAAAGCAGTGTTCTCTCCCAGACTGACCTCCGCTTTCTACTGCTTGCTGTTTCTTAATACTGACCATGGACATTTCTTCTTCTTCTTCTTTTTTTTTTTTTCTCACACAGTCAGCAGTCGCCAGAGGACCTTGATCGAGTGCCTCGCAACTCTACCAGCGATATCTTGAACAGAATGCTAGTCAGTTATGACCCCCGGATACGACCAAACTTCAAAGGTCTGTTGCCTACTCCCCGCCCATCAAAACCTCCTCATTCAGTACAGTTAAAGCTTGCTTGGGTCTGTGTGCGGCCATTCTCTGTGCTACTCAGAACAGTAGGTTTTCAGATTTACGAGCAACTGTCTCACAGTGTGCTTAGGCTTGGAGCAATTTTAGTGCCTAAAATATCCAGTGATAAGCAAAATATTCTAAAAGTTATCTATCTATCTATATAAAACTGGTTTAAACAAAACAAAACAAAAACAAGAGGTATCCTGTGAATTAATAGGGCAACATCTGTAAGTGGTTTCCTGAGTAGTGTGCGTTCTAAACTTAGGCCATGGATATTTTCATTTATAGACACAAATGTTATAATTTATAGAACAGCCATGTACTCATTTAGAGAAAATGAGCCATATATATATATATATATATATATATATATATATATGGTTTTGTTTTACTTTTGTTAGTATTTTACATGGATAAAAAAGTCACTTCTATCTTGTACTAAAAAAATGGCCATGTGGTTTTAAAATGTTAACTTTTAAGAACAAAGTGACTACAACAGAGATTACATTTATTCCAACAAAATATTTGTTATTTATTACAGTTTTCAAATAAAAACATTATCCTTAATTGACTATTTGTATATATTGCTTTCTTTTGTAAAACTTTTGATGAATCATGAAAAAGCTGTGTGGAAAAAATTTCCGGAAACTAGTAATTTTTATTCTGGTTCAGGACAGGTAGTGATGTAGATGAAATTAACATTTTAAGGTGAGATTTTATTTTTCTTTACAGAAGAAAGGTCTGCCGCTGCTCCCAGTCAGTTGAAGTTACACAGCTATGTTGTAAACACATGGTTTTTGTTCATTACCAGAACCTGTTCATTTATTTCCACGTGGTCACGGCTGGGGCTGCCACAGGTCTGCCTTGGACCCACTTGCCACCTGTTTCTCATCAGGCAGTGGTTACGTGGCTGAAAGATCAAGTTCACATTTCCCCTTTGATAGCCCAACCAGCAGCCACAATGAGCTGAGAAAAGAGAAATAAATTTGCAACCTAATACCTTAGCTCTCCTTCCCTGAACTTTCCAATTATTTTAGAATAGGTCAGGTAGTAGTCTATGCAATGGTCATGTTACATGTCTGGTTAACTTTGCATTTTCATGAATTAAACATTAAAATATAATTATTACACGTAGAAGTGATTGAATACTGTTAATTTATTTAAGAATTCAAAGTGTAGGAATGTAGGAATATCAAACTTCATTTTCAAAGACTTTTAAAAAGAGTTATTACAGCTTTGTAAAATAAATGGAGAGGCAAATAAGATATTTTAAAAGTAAACATATTTTCCAAAATGAGTAGCAAACATATACAGCTCAACTCATGTTTTATTTGTTTTATGATCTCTATTTATAAAAGTAACAATAACAGTTGTGAGCTGATTTCATGCCAGAGGGATGGAAAAATATATAAATTAAGTGCACAACCATATTATGAAGATTGTAATTAAGTTTTTTACAGGTGCTAAATATATGCTTAATTTTTATTCATAGGTGTTCCTGTTGATGTAGTAGTCAACATTTTCATTAACAGTTTTGGGTCCATTCAAGAAACTACAATGGTAAGACAACAATTAATTTAATATTTTTAGTGGTCAAAATGTCAGCTAGTCTAAGTAGCACTAAAATTAAAATATTAAGAAGGCATTCTAAGGAAAAATTGCATGTCCTGTCTTGCTGTCTATTACTTAAACTCCTTGGTTTTGTTCACTTAGGGATTCTGACAGCTATATAATTTTTCAATTCCAATTTAGCCCTAATTAGCTTCATTGCCACTTAGAAGCCTGGGAAAATTGTTATCTCCTGCCTGAGAAACAATGATTGGATACCACCTTCGGAAAGGAAAGGATTTATGCAACAAAAACTCTTCAGCAGCAGCAGTGTGTCTTCCTAATATACTTATGTGTACATAAGTATATTAAAAAAGTCTTTTAAGTATTTGTAATTGTTTTTCTTCCAGTCCCTAGAGGACTATTTTTTTAGTCTCTTTTGTGCTAATTGTGCCATGCATAGAGGAGAGAAGTCTAAAAAGCAAAGAGAAAATCAATTTTCATACAGCAGGGAAACCAAACTCTCTGGAAAAATACAGTCACTAGTGGGAAGCCAGAGACAGAAAGAGTAATTGGCAGCTTCCTGTCTTGAAGGAAATTTGGAAGTTTCTGGGGAACGGCTGCTGCTGGAGATGTCCTCTATAAAATATCACTCGCAGAACTCCCAAGTGCAGAGCGGTATGGCTACCTCCCTCCACTTCTTAAAAGACTTTTCAGAAGGTCCACACTGGCCCTCAGGGCTTTAGAACATTAGATTTGAAACCACAGCTTCAAATAATTCTTCAGGCGAGAGAAAGAATACCCAAGGTTTCTTTGTATTTTGTTGGGTATTTGTGATTTTATTAAGTAATGTGTACGGTTTGGTTATAATAATTATGCATCCCTAGTGGCAGCATAGAATAAAAGCAAATTTAGATTACATTTTAATTTTACACTGCTTATCTGTGTCTAGTGAGGATAAGAACTTTTATATTGTTTTTCCTAGAAGTACATATTGGAGTTCCTGAGTAACTGAAATTCTTAGTATGTGAACATACCTAGAGGGTTGTTTAAAAGAAGATTTTGAGATCAAGTCTGCATTCCCTCTGGTGAATTTTTAGTTAGGTGACAAAGCCTTAGCTTCTAGGTCACCTGAAGATTGTTCTGTCATGCAGCATTCTCCTTCAGTGACCATGTGCTGTTACCCCTAGGTGCCTCGCTATTCAGGAGTAAGAGATGTCATTTTCAAAAGGTGAAACTTTAAGAGGCATTCTTCGCTGTATTTAGTCTCCATATTCTTCTCCATACCCCTGGTAGCTCATGGGATAAAATTTGCATTTACCCTAAAACACCAGTATCAGAATATTTCATTCTCTTGGAAATTTCTCCACATTTTATGCTGCTTACTTTATAATCAGGTCCAAAACTGATGTGTTGGCACACATCTGTCATCCCAGCATTCAGAGAGGCTCAAGCTAGAGAATCACACTTTCCAACCAGCCTAGACAATGGAGTAAGTTAGCAACACCATGCCTAAAACATACGTGTGTGTGTGTGTGTGTGTGTGTGTGTATGGTTAAGCATATAGCTCAGTGAGAAATACTGGTTTCAATCCCTACTACTACAAAAACAAAAACAAAAAAACCCAAAAAACATCATAAAGAGTTTGCATGTGGCTAGTGCAAATGCAAGGATCTCTTTTTATTTGATTTTACTCACATAGTTGGTAGCTCAGTGGACACCGTCACTGTATCTGCTCCTCGCTGAATACTGGCTGCTTTCTAAATAACAGACCCTTGACTGTTCTGAATTGCAAGTACCTGAGAGTGTGGGCTATTTTTCTTTTTATTTTTCTTTTTTAAACTAAGGAGAAAAAAAAAACTAGCAGGATATATTATAGTAACTTTTTTGATTTCCTATTAACTTGATTGGAAGTCCTGTTATACTCCCACTATCTTGTTTTGACTGATTAGGCTCCGTTCCGCTCTGTATGATACTATTAAGTATCAGAGTATAGGCAACTACTTTGAAGGCAGTAAGATTCACATTGATGCCCATTCTGGTTTGACTATTACCCTCTTTTGAAGTTTTGTAAGGTTTACAATGTTTAGGTTTTATAGGTCTTATTCTCTACCGTTTAGTTCAACCTAATGAGATAGACAATTCTTCTTAAGGAAGCAAAAGAAACTATGGTAACCATTGTTGATAAAATAACCTTGTACTCTGTTTTTACATCATGTGCTATGTCTATCCTTGGTTTTGACTGACAACTTTGTTTTATCATGTTTGATTTTATTCTCTTACCAAAAAAAAAGTAATAAGATCTATGGGAGCAATAAAACCCAAAATGTGTAAATTTTGTTGTACTAAAGAGAGGGAAAAAAAAGTGCCCTAAAGGATACAACAGCAAGCGTGTTTAGGTATGTTAAATAGATGACCATATTAATACTTTTGTTTGAATCACTGAACACAACTATTTGCAGTCTCACTGATTGAATGTTCACTTTGTATGCTTTGATCCTGTGACCTGAATAACCGTTTCAAAAATGATAGTGTGTAATCTATTAACTGGTGATATCTTACTGTTTTTTTTTTTTTTTTGTAGTTCTGTATTACTTATACCCTTACACTGTTTTTTTTTTTCTCTCTTTTTCCTTTTAAATAAAAAAAGAAAAGAAAGACATTTTCACAGGTTTTTTTTTTGAGAATTATAGAAACGATTTTATCATTTCTAACACTACTCTTTCTCATTCTCCTGCACAAGCCCCTTGTGTAGCTAACTCAAAAATTACTCTTGGGATCAGATGCTCCCCATGGAGTCTTTACCCTGCTGGATGTCACCATCCTGATGGGTCTCTTACTTTCTAGGCAAGGCCATCTGTGGCCCCTCTTGCTCACTTTGGCCTGTTCGTAGGCTGGGCTGTCACAGTACATTTTTAAAAAGGAGCATTACAAAGGGTGTATTATACCTATGTTTATTTTTTAGCAGTATTTCTATTGATGATTTATTTTGATTTTATGAGTTTTATTATATTATACAATGTGTACTTAATAGCAATATAAAACATCAATAAATTAAAATGTTAAATTTTAAATATGTACTAATGCCATTAACCTTGCATATTTGAATAAACATCAAAATTTTCTACATCAACTGTCTGCTTATGAAATCTAAAAAATAAATTGCTATGTAAACTACAATAAAAATACAAATAATACTTTACCGTGGAAATAATCTCTGCCCTAATTATCATACCTGAGGTAGTCTTCACACATGAAACCAGCATATCCATTACCTAGGCGCTGCCTATGTGGACAGCATGTGGGTTTTGTTTCCTTTTCTTTCTTGAGAGGTCATATTGCCACCTGTCTTGTCTTTTTTTTTTTTTTTTTTTTTTTTTAGGAAGCTCCTATAGTACTATTCAATGTGTACTTAAGAAAATGAACTATCAATAAAAAATAAACATCAACATTTTCTACATCATCTGTTTGCTTGCTAAATGTAAAAAATAACAACAGAAATAAATTCCTTTGTAAAACACAGTGAAAATGCAAATAAAACACTACTACAAAAATAATCTTTACTTTAATGATTGCATCTAAGGCAGCTTTCTCACATGAAGACATGTCCCATATGCGAGTGTCACTTACACTGACAGCATGTGTGTGTTTTCCTGTCTTCTCTGGTAGGACACACTCCACATCCTGCTCGTCTTCCTATTTTCTTAAGATATTCTTGCAGTGTTTCACCTGTCTGTTCACTGGTCTGCTCCAGAATTCTTTGGAGGGGTTCTTTGGGCAGATACATTCCCTTCTTTCTCTGGTTTAATTACTCACGTATCAATTTCAGTCCAAATCATTCAAGAAAATTTCACCAAGGTATTTTGTGCTTACTATTTTCTTTATAAACGATAGAACTAGTTATTCCTGCCCCGTTTAGGACTGAGTAAATCACAACCACTGACCAGTGCTTTGTGTTTCCAGTGACATCATATTTGCTGTGTAATTCCTCAAAAGCATCTATTCGAGCTTAATTGTTTTGTTGTAAAATATGACCACTTCCGATTTCATTTGTGGTAAGGATTCACTATTAATTTTTTTTTTAGACAGTGTCTTGCTATGTAGCTCAGGCTTTGAACTTGCTGTGTAGCACAGAACAATCTTGAGCTCCCAGGATCCTCCTGTCTCAGCCTCGGGAGTGCTAGGGTTACAGGTGTGCACCACGAGGCCTGCATTCACTATCAATCTTATCATCATGGTGTAATATTGACAATATCAGTACTACCTTTTTCTCCCAGAGTGGAGCCCAGTGTCATGTCTTTCGGAAAGGCAAAGATTGTACTACATATATCTTCATTGTGAAATTGCAACGTTTTTTCAGGAATCTCTCTTTGTTCTTGTGAATATTTCCTGTGCTGGTCACCTGTTGTTCTTTTACCAAAGGTAATATCGGTGGATAAGTAGGCCCAATTGTCAAGCGTGGTGTTTGGGTTACTTTTTGAAGCAGTAGCACACACTTTATGACTGCAGGAAGAAAGATCTGGTGACTGAGCTTCAGGATAAATTTCTAAATTCAAGGCATAAAATGTCTTCACATCTACGAGGGCACATATTTTTGTATCATATTTAGTTGGCATATATTTCCAGCAACTATAACAACTATGAAAAGATGTAAATTGTTCATCAGTTGTCATATATTCAGACAGCATATGAATTGCTTGACAGCTTAAAATAAAACTTTCAAAAAATGAGTGAATAACAGTCAAATCGTACTTTTTTCTTTTCATCAAAACGTAGGCAGTTCTGAAGGAAACTAAATGTCTTGTCATTATTGATGTAAAATTGTCAACCCCACATCTGTCACTTCTCCATAAGTCCTTCAGATTCTGACCTTAGAATGCCAAAGTCGTCCTATTCAGGCTTTTAGTTCAGGCAGTGAAGCATCATGATAAATATGGTTTTCAGTATTACTGTTGGTGAATATGGAATGTTTTACTTGTATTTCATTATTAGTGTATTGCTCAACATCTTGC